TGAGACGGAGTTTTGCTCTTGTTGCCTAGGCTGAAGTGCAATGGCACGATCTCAGCTCCCTGCAACCTCCGCCTTCTGGGTTCAAGCAATTCTCCTGCCTCAGCCTCCTGAGTAGCTGGAATTACAGGCACACGCCACCACACCCGGCTAATTTTGTATTTTTAGTAGAGATGGGGTTTCTCCATGTTGGCCAGGCTGGTCTTGAACTCCCAACCTCAGGTGACCCACCCTCCTTGGCCTCCCAAAGTGCTGGGATTACAGGTGTGAGCCACCATGCCCTGGTGGATTCTTTTTTTCTTTTCCTTTTGCATCTTATTTATCTTCCTATGTCTCACAGGATCAGAAACATATTAACAGTAAATGCTCAGCCAGGCACAGCGGCTCATGCCTGTAATCCTAGCACTTTGCGGGGCCGAGGCGGGCAGATCACTTGAGGTCAGGAGTTTGAGACCAGCCTGGCCAACATGGTGAAACACCGTCTCTACCAAAAATACGAAAATTAGCAGGGCATGGTGGTGGGCACCTGTAATTCCCGCTACTTGGGAGGCTGAGGAAGAAGAATCGCTTGAACCCAGGAGGCAGAGGTTGCAGTGAGCTAAGACCATCCCACTGCATGCCAAGCCTGGGTGACAGAGCAAGACTGTTTCAAACAAAACAAAACAAAACAAGTAAATGCTCAACAAATGCTAGGTGCATGGATGAAGAAATCCACTGAAATCTAAGCACGTGTTCAGCTCAAGGCCTTGCTTTGATCCTGGTTTTGGGATCCTCAAGGTGTTGATCATTCCACTGCCTCCACAAGACTTTTGTGAACCTTACTCTTTGCTACTTTGTAATCATATGCCCTAACCAACTGATAAGATCTAAGACCGTATCCATAGTTCCTGGACAATCTATTCTCTCGAGAACTGTTATTTTTTGGTGACATTTTATTAGCTCTCTAGTTATTTCAAGACCAATGAATTCTTTAGCTATCTTCTTGTAATCATTTATACATAAGTATCATTTATACATAACACCTTGGAAATATTGTGAGTTCAGTTCCAGACCACTACAATAAAGCAAATATCCCAATAAAGTTAGTCATACAACTTTTTTCTTGTTTCTCAGTGCATATAAAAGTTTACACTGTACTGTAGTCTATTAACTGTGCAACAACCTTATGTCTAAAATAATAATGTATACACTATAATTAAAAATATTTTATTGCTAAAAATTGCTAGCAATCATCTGAGCCTTTAGGGAGTTGTAATCTTTTTCCTGGTGGAAGGTCTGGTCTCGATGTTGATAGCTGCTGACCAATCAGGGTAGTTGCCAAAGGTTGAGGTGGCTGTGGCAATTTCTTAAAATAAGACAACAATGAAATCTGCTGCATCAATTGACTTCCTTTCACAAAAGATTTCTCTGTAGCATACAATGCTGTTTGATAGCATTTGACCCACAGGAGAACTTCTTTAAAAATTGGAGTCAATCCTCTCAAACTGTGCTGCCACTTTATCAACCAAGGTTATGTAATATTTTAAAGCTTTTTACCACAAGTAGATTCCATCGCTGGTCATCCAGAAGAAGCGACTCCTCATCCATTCAAGTTTGATCACGAGACTGTGGCAGTTCAGTCACATCTTCAGTCCCCACTTCTAATTATAGGTCTCTTGCTGTTTCAACCACATCTGCAGTTAATTTCCCCCCTGAAGTCTTGGAACTCTTCAAAGTCACCCATGAGGGTTGGAATCAACTTCTTCCAAACTCCTGCTAAATGTTGATTTTCACCTCCTCCTGTGAATCACAAATGTTCCTGATGGCATCTAGAATAGTGAATCCTTTCTGGAAGGTTTTCAATTTACTTTGTCCAGATCCATCAGAGGAATCACTATCTATGGCAGCTACAGCCTTGTGGAATGTATTTCTGAATAATACGACTTGAAAGTCAAAATTACTCCTTGACCCATGGGCTGCAGAATGGATGTTGTGTTAGCAGACATGAAAACAACATTAATCTCCTTGTACATCTCCATTAGAGCTCCTGGGTGACCAGGTGCACTGTCAGTGAGCAGTAACCTTTTGAAAGGAATCTTTTTCTGAGCAGTAGGCTTCAACAGTGGGCTTAAAATAGTAAAGCATACTGTAAACAGATGTGCTGTCATCCAGTCTTTGTTGCTATATTTCTAGAGTACAGGCAGAGTAGATTTAGCATAATTCTTAAGGGCCCTAGGATTTTCAAAATGGTGAATGAGTATTGGCTTCCGCTTCAAGTCACCGTCAGCATTAAGCCCTAACAAGAGTCAGCTTGTCCTCTGAAGACTTCTCTAGCTGTGAAAGTCCTAGATGGCATCTTCTTCCAATAGCATTTTGTCTCCATGAAAAATGTTGTTTAGTGTAGCCACCTTCATCAAAATGAATCTTAGCTAGATCATCGTGATAACTTGCTGCAGCTTCTCCATCAGCACTTGCTGCTTCACTTTGCAGTTTGATGTTATGGAGATGGCCTCTTTCTGTAAACCTCA